AGAAGTGGCTTGACCATGGGAATACGGCTATTGTAGCCCATTTCCCGGACACGTCTGTGAACAGTGACTTTTGATACCTGGACTCCAGCTTCAGTCCACTGTCTTTGAAGCTCCCCCAAATTCTGGAAGCGACTCTTCTTCACAATGCTGTTAAGGCTGCGGTCATCTCTCTTGGTTGTGCAGCGTTTCCTGCCACATTTCCCCCTTCCAACAGACTTTTTGTGGATGTGCTTTGAAACTGCACTCTGTGAACAGCTTGCTCTTTGAGAAATTTCTTTATGTGTCTTACCCTCCTGATGGAGGGTGTCAATGACGGTCCTCTGGACAGCAGTCAGATCAGCAGTCTTCCCCATACTTGTGATTTAGTTTACTGAACCAAGCTGAGTGTTTTTCAAGGCTCAGGAAACCCTTGCAGGTGTTTCGAGTTAATTAGACGATTCAAGTGATTCGTTGAACACCCTACTAGTATACTTTTTCATGATATTCTAATATTTAGAGATAGGATATTTGAGTTTTCTTAAGCTGTATGCCATAATCAGCAATATTAAAATAATAAAAGGCTTGCAATATTTCAGTTGATTTGTAATGAATCCAGAATGTATGACATTTTTGTTTTTTTAATTGCATTACAGAAAATAAAGAACTTTATCACAATATTCTAATTTTCTGAGACAGTCCTGTATTTATGATGCACGTCACTTATTCAGTTTCGGTGGCAGTTCTTCCAGTTTGTCTAGAAGTCTTCTAATCAGGGCTCTATAAATAGAGAACTACGGCAGATGTGTACTATTTAATGCAGCCGAACCGTGTATTATAATGCCGTTATGTGATGACCTTCAAAGAGAAAAGCAAGCAGAGTCGGATTAAAGTATTATTTTCGTCTTTTAAAAAAAATGTTTTTTCGGATTTAATATCGCATTAACACCATATCCCAACGTGCATTGCGGCTAAACAATCCAAACACCGAGCTTAAACCATAGCTGAGGATCTTGGGTAATCAGTTCAATGGGTGTGTATCTGTTTCCGGTTATTTTATTTTGAAATTCAGTATTCTGAGGCTCTGAGCCCCATTTATTTTCCTCACAGACGACACAAAAAGTCCGACATTATACAATTTAAAATCAAAACAATAATCGTGGCTTGATATTGAGTAAGAAGATGTTTTTATGAACCACACAGCATCCGGTCTTCCAAGACCCGACCGGACAAAAAGACGTGTTGCAGGCACGAAACATACTACCAATAGAAATACATTGCTTTTAAAATCGNTATATGAATGCACCTGCCAATTGCCTGGTCAAGTTAGATGCTGCGTATCACAGTGCACTAAGATTTGTGACAAACTGTAAAGCATAAAAAATCACTGTACCCTGTATGCAAGGGCTGGTTTGCTTTCACTAACTGTACGGAGGCTCAGTCACTGGTACATTTTTATATACAAAGCCATGTTAGGGAAACTTCCATCCTACATCTGCTCCCTGATCACACGGCGAATTGTAAGTGGCTACTGCCTGAGATCGAATGCTGTGGTTTTATTAAATGTGCCAAATGCTAGGACTGTCTTAGGGAAGACAGCTTTTAGATGCGCAGCTCCTCTGTCTTGGAATAGTCTGCAAATTAAATGGAAACTGAACAATCTGGTGCCACTAAATGTTTTTAAAACTCGGTTGGATGCTACTCAATCGGAAGCTATTGGTACCTGTTTATGTGGATAATTATGTAAATGATGCTGTATGATGTCCTTTTGTTGTTCTATTTATGTTTTTATGTTTCATGTGGAACTACTTGAGCAGGTCTCCCTTGAAAAAGAGATCAATGATCTCAATGGGATTCATCTGTATAAATAAAGGTTTGAAATGAAATGAAACAATGGCTGAAGCATAGTTTTGGCAATTAAAATCTTAGCATTGAAAGTCCCAGTAAATCAAATGAATTACAGTATACATTTCCTCCTCTGTATTGTGAAATGGGAACTCCTTTCTGTTATTAAGTCCCATTTAATCTGAGGGTGACATTTATTCTAAAAACACTGATTTGCTATTTTTATAATAGCCTACGTAAATAAAGAAATATAGTCATTGTTCATTTATTATTGCACATGTTGCTCAATGTTGACTGAATGTTTAATGTTTGACTGCATTTGACATGTTTGCATGTTCAGCTGACCCGCTGGCTCTTTTGAAGATTGAATTGAAGATTACCGTTTGTTGTTTATAATTTATCTAGGATTATTCTAATGTTTTTTTCCATTAAATGTTAGGAAATATATTCAAAAATTAGTCTTGTCTGAAATAGTATTGCATTTTTAACAACACATTTTACCATATCAAAAAGAAAACATTAAATCTGTAGTAATATTTAAAAATGAGAGGGTTTAAACAATGCTCACACATCATGTGTTTTTAACGATGGATCCATCAAGGAGTCAGTCAAATATTTAACAGAAATCTCTTCTTCAGGTTTAAGTTTACTAGAAAACAAGGATGACGTGTTTGAAGACTGGAGACAGAAGTTCTGGACCTCTTATAAGGTATTCATACAATTTCCCTCATTTAAATATTTATTCCTCAGAAGAAATACATCTTTCTGTCACTTATCTATTGATCTTTCTCTCTAGACTGGAGTGATATATTGGTCAATAATGCAGGTGAAACATTATATCATTGTTTACTTTCTGGCTACATATTCAAATAATGTACATGCTGATACAATATTTCCATCTCTTCCACCATTGCAGGCAGTGAACTTCACCCTGGTTCCTCCTGTGGCTCGCACAGTGTTTCTGGGAGGCATCGCGCTGACTTTCACCATCTTCCTGTGTCACCTCAGACAGCAGAGTGACAACAAACTTGAATAAACCTGAGATCCTCAACTCCATGACGAATGTTTTTGTGTGGAACAACTGTGACATTAAAACGTTTTTTGAAGGCAGGATTGGGTGTCAAAGTTATACTGAGAAAACAAGGGAGGGAATACATAGAAATATGTGGGGATTCCAAATTGGGAAATTTCTAAAAAAATAGGATAAAGGTCACATCTCCGGGGAACAGTTGATTAGCTATGGATTATTGTTCAGCTGTAATTTGTTTCTTGTTTAAACAGAATTGTATCAAAATTGTATAATATTGTACAAACAGAGTTTTAATCATGCTATTAATATTTAATGATCCTTTAACTGTTTAAGTATGTCCTACTGGAATAATGTTATTGATGTTTACATATTTAACCAATAAAAAATAACTATTTAAAAATTATTTTCGCGTTGTCTTAAGAAAATAGTATAATCGTATATATATCTCCTTTTGTCATAAACAGCCTGACACTTAACCTTATATTTGTGTAGCCTCTTACTGCAAATTGTTTTGTTTAGTTGAATGCGGACAGTATCTAACCATTTTGTCCTTAATTTAGCCATATTTTACTTTTATAAAATGAAACTCTTGAGGAAATTACCATCTTATATTATGTTATTTATCTATTACATTTAAACAACAAAAGCAAAGTATAAACTTACTGTTAAACACTATCAGCTGCATTTTTGTATAATAAATACATACTAAAATATATACCCTAGATAGAATACATCACATGTGTCAAACTCAAGGCCCTTGGTGGATTTAATTTCGGCCCGCAGGATAATTTGTAATTACTATTAGATTTGGCCCGCTGGTATATTGCACGCACACCTTCACTCAATCCTGAGCATTTCCTCTGCTCAGAGCCTGATCCCAAATATTGATGAACTTGCACCCAAGATGAGATGCCAAGTATCTGGCTTGAACTAGCATCACAGCAGCAAACTGAGTTTCAATGGATGTTTCCTTCTGCACTTTTTTCTTGCGACAACAGGGCATGTTTGGTTTTTGAAGCTGTTGTTGGCCTGTGGAAAAATGTAATCATAAGAAATGAAGCTGTAGATAGAGCCATAAGAAATGAATGAAACTGATTATTTAATGTTTAATATTGTTTTTATTGGCAATGATTTAAACTGTGTTAGTTCCAGGTTTAATATGTGCAATAAGTTCATTTCAATACGTTTTGCAATAAACATTGAACCAGTCCGGTCATTGAACCCCTCGACTAGTACCGATTTTTTAATTTTGGCCCGCTGTGTATTTGAGTTTAACACCCCTGCCCTACCTGATAATAGCTCTTATGTGTGCAAGTAGGTCTCTGCACCACTAGAGGCGCTGTCATAAAAAGCCCGTCCTCTGTAACCAATCAGAGACCCGAGATTTCAGCCCAGTGTTTATCGCGAGACCTCGGCTCTTCCTTTTCCCTTTTCGCCCTGAGCCCAAGATGGTAGGTACTGCTAGTAGAAAATGAAAAATACAAAAGCTTGACTATCCACGATCATCCTATGAATTAAAACATCTCATGTTTGTTACGACAGGCTGTACTTGTTGTAAACATAATGAACGTTACAGTCTTGCCATGATTTTGTGATATTTGACTATGTAAAGTATATTAACTTACCCGTTTGGTGCCGATGTTCAGGCAGCCGGTCCACGCATTGACTCTGGTCAAAAACGGGCTCTTAAAGTGCTTCATAGTGCAAAGTATTGTCTTCAGCTATACATTTCTAGTTCACCAACGTTATCGTTTGTTACCAAATGTAAAATTAAGCCACAATTTTTAAAGTGTTGAGTTGTTTACACTGGCTATCGTGTTAGCATGTAGCTGTGTAGTGTCAACGTGTGAAACGGCCTGCAATAACATTAGGTGTTTTTCTGCTTCATTTAACAATATGAAAGTGACTTTTTGTGTACAAGTTAGGCTCATAGTATAACATTGTGTTTTAATGGCAGTCATAGAAGTGCAATACAAGTCTAGCAATGGAGAATGCTATAAATGCTATAGTTTCCCCATATCCGTTACAAAATGAACTAAAATACCCTGATCTGCTTGTTAATGCATTACTCTTTGATATTCTATTAATGTGTTTCTGTTTATTTTTCTAGGGAGTTGACATCAGACACAACAAGGACCGTAAGGTACACAGGAAGGAGCCTAAGAGCCAGGATATCTACCTGAGGCTCTTGGTCAAGGTAATATACTTTTACACGTTGTGATTGACTCATTTCAAAAACACCACATGTGTAGGTATTCTGTAAATCTTAACTGCTGTAGTCTGATCTTTCATGATCTCTCTAACCCTCCTGTTGTCTTCTTACAGTTGTACAGGTTCCTTGCCCGTCGCTGTAATGCTCCTTTCAACAAGGTCATCCTGAGGAGGCTCTTCATGAGCAGGACCAACAGGCCCCCGATCTCCATCTCCCGCCTGGTCAGTCTGTCATCTTTCAACCTGTCTTGTCACCAATGAATCCTATCACTATCATTAGTTGTAGACTGTAACATTTGAATCATCATCACAATGCCAACTTGTACGATAAACACGTCAAACACTCTGCGATATGTTTTATATATATTTATGAGGATAACAAATGTGGTTAGGAAATGAGTGCATGTGTTATTACTCTGATTCCTTTTTTTACATTGGTACCTTTTTTGTATTCAGTTCACCTCTCTATCCAATAATGTGAAATGATTTCCTGTAATTTGTTTAAAGCAATTTGTTGTATTTCAGCAGCAAGCTGAAAGGCAGTGTTAGGTACACTTTAATAAATACACTTCAAGTACCGGTAGTAGTGCTATCACTCTTATTGTGAGGAGAAGTTTTGGTACATTTGGATTTGGACAACTTGTTTTCTTGGGGTCTGTTCTGCTTTCCAATGGCTCTGAATTCTGTGTGAAAATGGATTTTGTTAATATATTTGGGTAAAACTTAAGTCAGTGTTAATACCCATATGGCTTTTATTTTTGCCTCAACACTTGATACGGGAATGTTAAGAAGTGGTGGTCAACTTGAAAGAAATTGTACACGCGATGTCATTCATGTAATGCAGCCAATAACTGCTTTCATGATATTGCCCAGATTAGATGTCCTAAAGTTGAAAGTGTATAAGACCTGTTCATACATGTGATTGTGTGTGTGCTAAATATCTGACATTGCTTCTATCGAATCTAGATCCGTAAGATGAAGATGCCTGGCCGTGAGAACAGAATCGCTGTCATTGTGGGATCAGTCACTGATGATGTCAGGATTCAGGATATCCCCAAGCTCAAGGTAACCCCTCTTTTTAGAATGGCAGACTTCAACCCTTACATTGTGGTTTTCTCTTTTTAAAAACATCAAGTAGTGCAATAAGCATCTTGCCTTAATGCTGTGATGTTACCTGTGAAAGTCTCTGAGATTGTCCTGTTTCTCCTCCCACAGATCTGCGCTCTGAGGGTGACCGATGGTGCCCGCCGCAGGATCCTGAAGGCAGGCGGTCAGGTGATGACCTTTGACCAGCTGGCTTTGGCTTCTCCCAAAGGACAGGGCACAGTGCTGCTGTCAGGTAAATAACCATGATGCAATTGGAGAAGAGGTTGTAAGCAGTAAATCCCCCATTGCTGCCATTAGTTCACATATCTACTGTAGTTAGGCATGATTTAGTTAAGATTGGGTAAACACTTTTTAACAGAAGTGTGGTGATGCTATTATGATAAGAACTCTCCATCAATGAGGAAAGCAGGCTTTTATCTATATTTACTGATGGGCAATTAATCACTGCTTAAACATAATAATGGGTTTTGTTTATTTGTTTTTGTGGTCATTTTGTCAGACTAAAGAGACCCTCATATCTTATCATCTTCTGTATGAACTCCGTTTAGGCATAAGGTGTTAAGTATTGACACATTTGAAACTTGCCAGCATTGGGTGACAATGTTATATGGAAAAAATAATTTGGTGCATTAGTTGGGAATTAATCAATCTGTATATTCATCTTTTGGAGATGAGACATGTTTTGTGTTATCAGACTATTTTCTTGTCAATTGTTTTCCTTGCTAACCAACGATCTAGAAATATTCAGCCGTAGAATTGCTCACATTAGATTAAATAATCTCTTTGGGCGTCTATATGGCATTCATAATGCTGAACAGAAAGAAGTGAGGCTAGATTGCTAAAAATGCTATTTATCACAAATAAAATAGGAAAGCAATAATGCGGCAAATGGAATCGCACATTTTTAATCAGCTTATGTGCAACAGAAACTATGTTGTAATATTATAATCTCTGCTATTAGGAGGTGAAAGTGTTATGAATGGCGGTGTGGAAATACTTTTTAGTAATGACCTTTTGAATGGTGTATTTGCTTTAAATCCTAAACCGTTGTCTTTTTCTTCAGGACCCCGTAAAGGCAGAGAGGTATACAGGCATTTCGGAAAAGCCCCTGGAACTCCTCACGCCCACACCAAGTATGTACACAGTTCATGTGAACACAGAAAAACAGAACAAAATGTTCAAGTTTGGGTGTCTAAACAAATAATTGTTATACACTAGTATTTAAAATAGTCTGATACCAGTTTACTATGGTATTCTCATGGAAATGCTCTGGAAAGTGGGTTAACATATTCAGCTTTTGTTGTCTGACTCTTCAGCTTCTTCAGTAACACTCTGTTGTGGGATGTCTGTCTGTCGTCATCCTGCCCTAGTTTCACTAGTTGTCTGATATTCTGGTCAATGTTGTTGTATACATCATTTGTAGTAGTGGATTATACTTTACACATTATAGGTAGTAACCAAACTAATGTACACAAAAAAAATCACAAGAAACTCGATGCCTCCTTAGTATAAAAAGAGTTTCAATCGTTGCCTAGTAAAACGGAGTAGCAATTAGCACTCGAGGCAAAACTGTTTAATGATGACTCTTAAACCCTTTAACAGATAGTGAGATTAAAATGTTTATAGTATTTTAAAACTAACTAAATGCACTTTGAAGGTTATTATAAGCGCCTGGCAAAACTTAGGTAAACTGTTGCTTAAATTAATCATTATGAGCAATAACATTTTCCTTTTTTTCTATTAAACGTATTCGTTATGGAACCAAACAATTGTAATTGCCATCCTCTGGTAGCAACACTGCAAAATGTTTTAGTTCTCCTTTGTGGACTTGCTAAAAGAAGGCTGTGAAAGGCCCTCATTTTACATAGACAAAAAGTCTTTCTGACTCGTGTGCAGTAAATAAAATGGTACCAAGGAAAATAATTGATACAAGGCATAATGTTTTTCAATGTGTCGTTCCAAGTGAAAAGTTAATGCAGCAGAATTTAGACTTAATTATAGACAATTTTTTATATTGCTCTATAAACATGTTTAATGAATATATACTAAACTTGATTTTATTTATTTTCCTCCAGACCCTACATC